CAAGGTTAATGCTCTGGCTTTCACGTCCGAGGCCAACTTTGATAAATATAATGCCCTGGCCTTGGCCCAGTCCTTGGTGTATTGCACTCAAGACACGGGGCACAAGAAAGCTGCGTATTAYGCTGCAGCGCTTCAGGAGATTAGAGCATGTATGCTCAAGTCGACACGTGACTTCAAAGCATATTTCCTAGCCCTGTTCGCAGATAGTGATTMCTCGAAAGTTTTGGAAGCCATTGCCAAAGTGGATAAGTCCCTGCGCTCGCCCTCGTTGCCCAGACAAGGCAGAACAAGACAAGTAGTGTGTTTTAGGTGTGGCCAACAGGGCCACTATGCCAGCCGCTGTCGGGTTAGACCATACGGTTCAAGCACAAGGAAATCTGCGGGTGATACGACAGGACCTAAGTCCTTGCTACCTTGAGTATTACATATGGAACTTCTTGACGATTGGAACGTAGAGATTGGACAAACATATACTTCACTCGAATTGATTATTAATTAAATAAAGCATTTCAAAMCACAACATTGTCTTGGCGTTATTAAGTTTATCCCCAAGCCAATTAGCCTGTGGCTTGGGTGCCAGTCTTGAAAGGGACACTTATCCCTACTCGGACTACTGGGGCTCAAGGCTGYCACYCCGCGACACAAAGGCTAGTTTGGCATCCTGCGCTCTCTTTTCACTATACTCCCTTCTGCTTTAGGTTGATGCTACAAGCATTCCTGATTGGGAGATGGATTTGGGTTTTGACCCTATCCAAGTTTTGGCCAACTCTGTGCACTGGATTAATAAGGATGCCAAACCAATCAGTCTGTGTCAGGGGGTGACAGCACAAAATGAGCAATCTCCAAGGACTACATCGACAGCGTCCTTGCAGGCGATCAGGAAGGTGATATGGACAGCTTAGCGTTTCGAGACCCGAATCGATTTGTATCTGGACAGCTCCATAATCACTATGACGAGTGGTATCTGGTAAGGTGTCAGTAAGTCAGCGTCCTTGCAGGCGATCAGGAAGGTGATATGGACAGCTTAGCGTTTCGAGACCCGAATCGATTTGTATCTGGACAGCTCCATAATCACTATGACGAGTGGTATCATATTGCTTCACAAGTAGGGAATGGGGCTGATGAAGTAATGGAATGGGTGAAGAATGGCGTTGATCTCCATGSGTATTTCAGGCACTTTCATGGTTCTTTTAAAGGAGTTAATTTCAATTGTAGCTTACAACCTCGCAGAGTATTTCCAAATAATAGATCGTGTAAATCATTCAGTAGCTTTATCACGCAAACAATCTCCGAGCGACTTGCCTCAAGGGCTATTAGTGTTTGGGGGAAAGTCGGAAAGTACCTCCCCCACATTTAGTTATGTATGCCCTTAACGGTAGAACCTTCGAAGCCCCGCCTATGTAATGACAATAGGTTTCTGAACCTGTGGATGGTTGACAAACCTTTCAGTTTGGATCGTCTTGCTGGTATCCCTCGCTATGTCTGTAAGAATTCTGGTCTTCAGACTATTGGGGACCACGGCAGCTCTCTTTGAAGCACTGGCTCTGGCTAATGTGCTCAAGAGCTTTCGGGCGAGCATAGAATAGAATAGAAGCTTTATTTATGTACATGGTAGCAAAAATTGCTAAATTGCGTACAATACTAACTAACAAAATATGTGATAATAATAATAATAATAATAACAATAATAATGACAATAATAAAACTATAATATACATTAACTAGTTGATTAAAAGACTACTATATACAATGTAAGAATTAGACTAATTAGAATAAAAGGACTATATAAAACCTATAAAAGGACCTATACAATGTACTATATACACTAGTTACTTCACATTTTATTATTGTTAAAGGAATTGCTATGAAAGGTGACGAAACAATTCTTTGCTCTGTTGGTATTGAACTTAGTATTGAATGTCCTTGTTCTCCTGAGTTCGTACTTTGCTTCGTGGCG